TCTTCACAGATGAAAGCAGGTTCACACTGAGCACATGTGACAGACTGTCTAGAGGGTCTAGAGACGCTGTGGAGAACATTCTGCTGCCTGCAACATCCTCCAGCCTGACCGGTTTGGCAGCGGGTCAGTAATGGTGTGGGGTGGGGTGGCATTTCTTTAGGGGGCCGCACAGCCCTCCATGTGCTCACCAGAAGTAGCCTGACTGCCATTAGGTACCGAGATGAGATCCTCAGACCCCTTGTGAGACCATATGCTGGTACGGTTGGCCCTGGGTTCCTCCTAATGCAAGACAATGCTAGACCTCATGTGTCTGGGGTGTGTCAGCAGTTCCTGCAAAGACGAAGGCATTGATGCTGTGGACTGGCCCGCCTGTTCCCCACACCTGAATCCAACTGAGCACATCTGGGACATCATGTCTCGCTCCATCCACCAAAGCCACGTTACACCAGACTGTCCAGGAGTTGGGGGATGCTTTAGTCCAGGTGTGGGAGGAGATCCCTCAGGAGACCATCCGCCACCTCATCAGGAGCATGCTCAGGCATTGTAGGGAGGTCATACAGGCATAGGGAGGCCACACACACTACTGAGCCTCACTTTGACTTGTTTTAAGGGCATTACATCAAAGTTGGATCAGCCTGTAGTGTTTTTTTCCACTTTAATTTTGAGTGTAACTCCAAATCCAGACCTCCATGGGTTGCTAAATTTGATTTCCATTGATAATTTTTGTGTGATTTTGTTGTCAGCACATTCAACTATGTAATGAACAAAGTATTTAATAAGAATATCTCATTCATTCAGATCTAGGATGTCTTATTTTTGTGTTCCCTTTATTTTTCTGAGCAATGTACTTGACACAGGTAAAGAGGCAATTTTGCTTTCATACATTCTGGCTCTTTTGCATATGTATTCCATTGGTTTATATCTCATTGTTCCAAGGATGGCATCCGTACAAAGATTTTTTTCCTCATTTCATTAGGCACACTTAAGCTGGATGTTATTCACTTCCCTGACTCTACTTAGTCCCTTCCAGCTGGTGAGCCCAATATCTCAACCTCCAGAGAAGCCTTTTCTGCACTGGACATAGATTACCTGGGGGTTTCTAGAAGTGATAGAAGAAGAGTTCCAACTCATCTAGAGAGGGTGGAAGTCTGGGTAAAGTGGAGAATGGGGAAGAGGTGATGAGACCAGGCATGCCCGGGGAGGTGGGGGGGTAATAATTGAGACGGGGAACAGGGGAGCTAAACCACGCAGCTGCAATTCACCCCCCCCCCTCCAAGCCATGCAATGGCTAGCCTGAAATTAGCACGAGTCCTTCAAGCGTTACACAAAGCCGCTTGGAAAAGAACCCAAATATTTCCCTTCTTGGGCTCCAACGTCCTGAAGGGCTCCTGCCTAACCGTTCCCCTTTTAAGAGTAAAACGCGCCTCTCTAGGCAAGCTCCATCTCCTCTTCGACGTGACCCCAGTGAAACCCTTAGCACTCCCCAAACTCCCCACACGCAAGCATGCCATCCCCTGGACCCTCCTCCTCACCCTGGCCACACGGGACCCGCCGCCTTCCCGAATTCTCGGTGCTCACGATGGACGCTCGCGAAATGGCTGTCGGAGAAACAGCAGTAGCGAAAAGGAGGAGGAGGAGGCGGCGGCAGCAAATCTAAGCTTAGCCTGGCCTCCTAGCATGGGGGAAACCCCGACTTTACTTGCTTCCGGACTATACCATTGTTGATCAGGAAGGGGTGATAATCGTGGAGTGGGAGAAAGCTTTCCTCCCCTCTAAACCCTCCTTTCCTCCTTCTCCTTTCTTTTCTTTTTTCTCTGCAGGCAATAGGATTTGTGTACAGTAACATTTACTTTTTTTCTCCCTCGGATTCGGCAGCACTGAAAAATCATAATTCTCCCCCCTTCCTCACGGTGTAAGAAAAACACAACCATCAGTCCCAGACAGGTAGCAACCAATGCTGCAAGCTGTAGATATACTCCCGTAAGAGTTACGCATTTCCTGTTGAGAAGTTTTTTTTTCAGTCTTCAGAAGTGAAATTTTGGGTACGATACTGTGGAAGACAATAAAGGATGATTGGGAACTTCAAGTTTTCTCAGATGTTTTTATGGTTAAGCGTATTCCCCCCCCCCTCAAAACCTTACTCGTTGATATATACTTCATTGCTTTATTCATTGCTACGCATGTATATATGTATGTATATCTTATTTGTATTGTATTTTATATTGCAATTTCAAGATTTTTATTGTCCAGATTGCTAAGTTTTAACTTCTTATTGAATGTGTAGCCTGAATAAGCCCTTTAGCTAACTTTAATTTAAAATTGTTATTTTTTAACCACAATTTTTGCATGCATGTACTTTTCCTAACCATCCTAATATTGTTAATTTAATTTTGGATATCAATTTCCTTGTGCTAGTTAATGACTGCAATAAAGTTATATATCTTTAATTTATAATTCTAATTAATTAAAAGTAATTCTGTGTAGATGTTTTCAAATAAACAACCTGCATCTTTAACCCTGATTATAGTTTGTTCCTACCTATCCATGTGTAGTGGCATCTATGGTTGTGCAGCAACCAGGAAGTGGGATTGATTAATGCTACAAAATTCTATAGGAGGTGGATGATTCTGTTGGGGACCAGGAACTCTAGGCATAGGTCAACACAGCTCAGCCAAGGAGGTTTGCCTAAACAGCCCTCCACAAATCTGTTCTGTGCCTCATATTCTCCATTATGTATCTCTCTACTACAGATTTGGAGAAAGTTCAGCCATGAATAATAGAGGCCCTGATGTTGTAGCTATCCTCTTTTGCTTGCCTTCAGCATTCCAGTAATCCTGACCAAAGTACATGAAGGCAGAAATGAAGTGTATAATGCATTTATGTAGGGTATCCCAAGTTGTGACATGCATTCAAGGCTGCTGTGGATAATCCTGCATCCAATATTTAAGGCAGGGGTGTCAAACTCACATTGTCAGCATTGCCATGTGACATATTGTGACTTTTCCCCACTTTGCTAACTGGCCGTGGCCATGGCCAGCACATGACACGGGACGCAAGTTTGGTCCGTGGGCCGCAAGTTTGACACCCTGGTCCAAGAAATACTTATTTTCTTCCTCTTAACTTTCCCCTGACACATCTGGAAAAGCTGCTTGAGACTATACACAGCAACCATGGGGTTGCTATGCAGTGCTGATTCTGGCTTGTGCATGAACTTGTAAATGTGTATGATTAGAAGAATTATTTTAAATAATGAAATTAATTTAATATGGAAGTCTGGTATGGATACAAATATATATACTTGCATGTATAAATATATTCAACACTTTATTGACTGGTCAACCACAGGACCAAATTGCCTGGTGGCGAGGTGGGTGGCAAACAAATGTAATAAATAAATAAAACTGATTTAGAAATACAGTTAAGAATTACATTACTTGGATATCAAAGACATTTCTACTGCAGTATCCCTGCATATATGATTGCCACCAAAGGACCACAAACCTGGGACTTTGCAGTGGTGTGGTTAGTGACAAAGAGCACAATCAGAACATATAATCCAGGTGAGTGTACAACAAGGGCCTGATGTGGGACCAGTAAGATGGTGAGCAACAGGGAGTGCCATGGGATAAGCATGCAAAGAAAACAAAGGCATTAGGTCTAAAATAAGAAATTACTCCTTTGCCTCAGTTTTATAAGAATCAACAAATGCAACCTAATTGTACTAATAATTAATTAATAATATAACCTATTCTGATTACCGTGTAAACAATTTTGCAAATTTTTGCATATCTTAATTCCTCTGTTCAAGCCTATGACCTCAGTGACTCTACCCTTGGCACCAGTCAGGCTTAATACTTCATCAGATCTTATGTTTCATTTAATGAAAAGCAAACACTAATCTAGCATGCTGCAAGAGTAATAAAATGGCAACTAATATTTCTGCAAAATGATACACTGCTGAATCTGCAAATATCTTAGAGGTATAGAAAATAATGCATTGTAAGGGAAAATGAACTATTCTTAATACTAACTGGGTAAGAAACCATTTTTTTTCCAAGAGGCAACTGGACTTTCTGCTATTTCTTCAAAGACGTCTTACTTCTCATCCAAAAACCTTCTTGGATGAGAAGCGAAATGTCTTCAAAGAAAAACCAGAAAGTCCAGTTGCGTCTTGGAAAAAACACCATTGGGACCTGGATGACTGAGAATCTCCATAGACAGATTGGGTAAGAAGAAGAGAGCCATGCTAATTTGCTACTTACAGAATATCAACTTGGAGTTACAAATAATAGGCTAGCTTTTGAGGACTAAACACTCCTGCTTGAGCAGGGGGCTGGACGAGAAGACCGCCAAGGTCCCTCCCAGCTCTATTCTATTCCAACTCGTCAGGAGGCAAGATTACTTTTAAAAGGCATCGGAAAAGAGGAATGACGAGCTGTTGTTACTGTTGAGGTTTTTAACAGTATTTATATACATTTATACGCATATCATACCTTTTCCCCAGAAACTCACAGATTTCCATAGCACTCTTGCCTCTTTTTTCCCCCGCAACAATTTTGTCGCGTAGAATGGACTGCGACGGACCGACTGCCCTAATACAATGTTTTGTATCAAGTTCTATTAAGATACTATATTAATATGGATTGTGAGTTAACAACGTAAAAAACCGAATCATATTTCTTAAACAGAATAAAAGCATAATTAAACAAAACTCTTCTATGTGTTTTTGCCGCTTATATCTAAAACTCCGGGTTTTTTCCAGGGACTTTTATTGAGCAGTTTCCATTTAAGCCACGCGTGATGCACATTACTAACGGGAATTTTACTGGAGAGAACAGAGAATGTCTACTTCTTTTTATGGCTCCTCTTCTGTTTAGGGGCGATTAGAGACGGGATTTTCAGATTACCCTGATGAACTAGGAGGAAGGCGAGTGTCTTCAATGCTGAAGTTCCTGTTTGTCGGTAGTTTTCCGTGACGTAGTTAGAGACTTGCACGCTCCTTTCTTTAGATGTGTTCTGAAAGCGGATTATTGGGCAATCGAGTTGAGATAGGGTAACATCAATTTAAGACGTGAGTACTCAGTTCTGGCCAGCCACGAAGAAATGTGTAGTTTTGCATGTAAGCCCTTATGCTGAGGCGCGTACAGCTAGGTGTGAGATCACAGATAGTTGATAAGTCTTCAGGAGACAGAAAATGTGGAAAGTTTGTTTATTAGTTTATGGCGGCGAATCTATCCTGTGAGGTGGTTGGCCTGTGACGTTAATTTTACTTCTAATGGTGCTGGGATTCAGAGCAAGCCAATGAAAAGATTTTAAGGCACTTAAGGAATAGTATAAGGTCTCCTGCTCAAGCAATGCAACTCAGTTTTACAGACATCAGAGGTATCATATGGAATAGTCTTTTCAACCTGAACTTTTATGTTCTTTCAACTAGACTAGAGATAGAAAGCAGCTTTCCCACTATTACAGAGCTCCAGTTTCCAGAAGCACAGATTGTATATTTCTTTTATTTGGGCACCTAACTCTATTGAGTTGTATAAAAATGTTTGGACTTCATTTCAGACTCCTTGCTCTTCTGGTAAGCCCACACATGAAAAAAAAAAAAAAGATTAAATGAATGGCTCTCCATTTTATGGGGAAAATTAAGTTACTGCACACTTTGAAGGTACAATTAAACTTTCATTTTTTAAAAAATGCAGTTAATGTAATGATATTTTTTCAGTACTGTATAATATGTGATGGAATATCAAGCATACGATAGACCCACAGTCTAATTACTCTGAGATTGTCTATAAAAAGTTCGCACAGGAACAGCACAGGCCACACTTAGCGGGCAGAATCTCTTTATAATGCATTAAATAGAAAGTAAAAGCTGCATTTGGTTCTGTTTATATAGTGTTAAAAAGATACCTTGCTGTATATGCCAGCTCAACCGTAGTCTTTAGAAATTGCCAGACAGCCAGCATTAAGCTCATTGTTAGTAAAGGCCTAATTTCCATGGTAGGATGAAAAGTGACTGAACTGAGTTCAGAAACTGCCAATCTGCTTTGTTAATCACATTTGGATCTAATCCTGTTTTGGATCTCATGCTGCTTCAGTTTGAATGCTTGATCATGTTGTTTAGCAAATCATTACCTACAATGTTGGTTTGTTTTTGAAGATAATTTTAAAATAGCCTACTAAATGATTATTTATTTTTTTATTTAGAAGCTAATTATTCACCATTGTAGCCTTTAGAAAGGAAACTAAGCTGGCCAGGTGCACTATCTAATCACATTCGGAAATGTTTAGTTTAGTCAATTTATGGATACTAGGGACCTTCCAAAAGGTGAGCTTAGTTTGACATCTTTTTACTTTCTTTGGATTTAAGAATTTTAAAGCAGAGATTTAAGAATTTATAATAATATACAATTGACAAAAATAAAAGAAAAATTTAAGAATTTTTTAAACAGATTGGGAACCAGAGAGATAGAGTATATTGGTTATTTTTACCAATATTTAATTATTGGTAAAATAATTATGTGGCAAATAACTGGAATAGAATCAAACCCTTATTAGGAACTCTCACTTGATGAGGATTGCAAATAGACACTAGAGCAGGGGTATCAAACTCATGGCCCATGGGCTGGATGCATCACATGCTGGCCACATCCCTGCCTGGTTTAGTGCAGGAGGAAAAAGTCCCAATATATCATGTGACGCCGCTGTGATGCTGTGAGTTTGCACTAGAGGGAACAAAAGGACTAGGCAGAAAAGAGTTAAAATGGATAAGCTGCTCTAACTTTTTCTTATTTTAAAGAGTTGTTTTGTTAATTGGATTGAGATAAAAATAACTAATATGTGTTACATTTTGAGTATGTGTGTGCGTGCGTGAACGCTTTGGGCACTCAGTGCCAAAAAGGTTCACCATCCCTGTCCTATACTATTCCAGACTTTCTTTGGGCTTCATGAGATTGATACATGTGAACATAGAAAGAATAACAGAACAGTATAAAAGAGTTGGAAGGGATGCCAGAGATCCTCCAATCTAAACCCCACCCCCCACCCTCACTCAAGCAGGGGACTTTGTACCATTTTGGACAAATGGCTGCCAATCTCTTCATAAAAACCTCCAGTGATGGAGCACTTACTGCTTCTGGAGGCTCACTGTCAGGAAGTTTCTATTTAGTTCTAGGTTGCTTTTCTCCTTGATTAGTTTCCATCCATTGCTTCTTGTCCTGTCTTCAGGTGCTTTGGAGAATAGATTGACCATGTCTTCTTTATGGAGCCCCTCAAATATTGAAACACTGCTATCATGTCACCCTAGTCATTTTTTTCACTAGACTAGACATACCCAATTCCAGCGACCATTCTTCATGTTTTAGCCTTCATTCCCTTCATCATCTTTGTTGTTCTTTTCTGGATTGCTTTTAGATAAAATGGGGAGAAAAAGGTTTTATTTTTTAAAAAATATATAGCTTTAAAACAAGGTGAAATATTAACATACTCAGTGGGATGAAGATTCTTTATTACTGCCTTTATTGACTTTTTCCTTTCTACTTTTTTCCTTTGCTTTTTTGTTTTTGTTTTGCACATCTGAATTTTAATTTTTTTCTAGTTTAGTTTTATTAGTTTTTATACATTTATTAAAAACTTTAATAAAATTATAAAAAAATACTTACTAGTAGTCAGTAGTCAGAGTTTGATCAATGTAATTATCTTTTTCGGTAGCCCATTATAAAGTAAACATGTCAGTGGGGACCTCTACTGGCAAAGAATTGTCCTATTGAAAGTATGTTGTATTCCTAATTCAGAAAAGCAGAGACCTGGAAATGAAATAGATATATGTAGGGAGTTGACTTTCATAACTGCTGAAATTGTGAAATTGTGTGAAGTTGTTTATTCTTTTTATTCCCTTAGTGCTAAAATCTTTCATGGCATAATACCAAAGTAAGGGGCCATTACATAAATGTTATATTTGAGCACTTTTATTTTTAAGGTGGGTATAGGACAGTGATGGCTAATCTTTCTGTCATCGCGTGCCAAAATTGCACGCGTACACTTGCACCCTTAATGCAATGCAAGCACGACCCCTCGTGCTCCCCCTGCTCCCCCTGCGCATGCACATGTGACCCCTGTGCTCTCCCTGCCCCTGTGCATGCGTGTATGACCTCTCCGCACTCCCTGCTCCCTGCGCATGCGTACACATCTCCCACATGCCCCCTGCCCCCCATGCATCAGCTGGCTGGCAGGAGGCATGCGTGCATGCACAATGGAACTGAGCTGGGGCGACAGCTCATGTGCTGGCAGAGATGGTTCTGCATTCCACTTCCAGCATGCGTGCCAGAGGTTCGCCATCATGGGTATAGGATTTCAGAAAATGAACTGATGATTTCTGAAAATTTTTGCTAGATACAGCTAGCCAAAAACAAACTAATATCTCTTTTAATGCTACTGAAGCAAGTAGTAATAAGCTTCCATAATCCAAATATTATATATTGCAAATTTAATAAATAAAGAATAAATAAATAAATAAATAAATAAATAAATAAATAAATAGTATTCAATTTAAATGATAGTGTCACATATCTGTTCTGATTATGATGATGCCAAATTATGGTGATATTGCAAAATGTCAAAGAAAATTAAAACATAGAGCATATCAAATTTTATTATATTTTATGTCATTCTTCAGCAGAATAGTGGCCTGATTTTCCTCTTACCCAATGCACTCATTGAATCTATTTCAAAGGAAACTTCACAATGTTGTTTTCTTCCATTGGAATCTTGAATGAGGTTTTGATTTTGATAGGACTGTTTATCACACTATTTACATTTAGGGGTGTCACACCCAAGACACTCAAGGGTGCTTAAATCTGGCCCATGGGTCCAGCCTGGAAATATCAAAGAACCAGCCCATGGTGCCTCTTCTGACCAAAACAGGTCACCAGGGGTGCATGCCCCCCCCCAACAGCCTGTTTTTGGCCTCCACAGCCTCCTGCAGCACTCTGCTGGCCAAAAATGGGCTATGCAGGGATCTCATGAGGCATCCACGTGGTCAGTTTTTGACCACCCCAGCCTCTAGCAGCACTCTGCTAGCCCAAAACGAGCTGTTCTGTGGCTTCGCGAGGCCGCTGCACAGTCCGTTTTCAGCCTCTCTGGTCTCCAGCAGCACACTGCAGGGGCCCGTGTGCCCTGTTTTGGCTAGCAAACTGCTGCAGTAGGCTTTTCAGGCTGAAAATGGGGCAGCCCTACACACACCCCATTTTGGCCAGCATGGTGCTACAGGAGGCATCTGTCCTGTCTTTCCCGCACTCCCCACTAGCCTGCAGAGAACTACAGTGCTGATCCAGCCTTCAAAAAAATCCAGTTTGACACCCCTGATTTACGCTGTGAGTTATAAATCTTTTATGCATTGTTTACTATTTAGTTGCTTTATTCTATACAGGTAGTCATCAGGTTATGACAATTGAACCCCAAATCTATTGTTGCTAAGTTTAAACATCTGTTAAGTGAGTTTTGCCCCATTTTGTGACCTTTCTTGTCACAGCTGTTAAGTGAATCACGCAATTGTTAAGTTAGTAATATGGTTGGTAAGTGAATCTGGCTTCACCGTTGACTTTGCTTGTCAGAAGGTTGCAAAAGCTGATCACATTTTTTAAAAAAAATAGATATTAAAAAAAATAGATATAAAAGATATAAAGCTCTAGAAATTCTGACCAATTATCAGCAAATGAAATGTGAAGATTTAAGTGTGTGATCAGTGCTGAATGGATGTGTGGGATGTTGATTATCATAAGCCGATCTTTAAATCCACAAACTGCTACACCTACTGGGAAGTCTCTTGATAATGCTGCCACTATCTACTTTGCAGCAGACAAATGGTTCTGTACTATTTTACTTAGAAGCAGGCAACTGGTAATTCTCAATAACTTGAGGAGGGAGGAAAAATGTGCCTAAAGGCTCTCCCAGAATAAGGATCATTGGTTCATTAAAAATTCAAGTCCTAATTATTCAGATCAAGCGTACAAAAGCAGAAGAAGGTTGAAAAGGCACAACAACATTTGGAGAATCTATTATGGGAATAGGATT